TATTAAAATTAATAAAATAATTTTTTAAGAAATGAAAACAAAACAAAAAAGAACAACCCAAAACAAAACAAAAAAAAACCCCTACCACTCGTCTACTAGTTTGTTATACTGTGATGGCTTGCATATTGATTAGATGCTGTAAGGTGTGCCATCAAGTATTTTAGATGATCAGCAGGATCAAATACAGTGGGCAGGTCTCAGTAGAACTTCCAGACAAAGAGACTAATAAGAAAGGCCTAAGGGGGTGAGCTCTGGTGGCCTAGTGGTAGGAAACTGCACTGCAATCCCAGAGGTGTGCGGTTCAAATCCACCAGATGCTCTGCTGAAGAAGGAGAAACAATCGCCTCCTGTACCAGTTAGATCCAATTTGATGGTACCCACATAAAAAGAATAAATAAAAAATAAAAAAAAAAAAAGAAAGGCCTAAGGGGAGCTCTGGTGGCCTAGTGGCAAGGAGCTGCAACTACAATTCCAGAGGTGCACAGTTCAAATCCACCAGATGCTCTGCCGGGGAAGGAGGGACAATCTCCTCCTGTACCAGTCAGATCTGATTTGACGGTACACGCGCACACACACACACAAAAAAGAGAAAATTAAAAAAAAAAAAAAGGCCTAGTGATTTCTTTCTGAAAAAGTGGCCAGTGAAAACCCTACAAGCTCACATTACAGTATTCTTCAAAACAGTTTTTGAAGGGGAACTCACTTGGCTGGAAGGCAGTGGAAACACACAAAAGCTTCAAGGGATTTGAGCACACCAACAGCTGTGACACAGCCATAGGGCTGGCAATATCTGTTCATTGTACACTGGGTCACTGTCAATTGGGGCCAAATCCACGATCAATTAACAACAATTACGAACAGCTTCCAGTTTCCAGTGAGTTCATTCAGATTACTTTTGTTTTTTAATTTTAATGAAAGTTTACAGATAACTTAGATCTTCACTCATTCATTGTTGTAATTTAGATTACTTATAATGATGATATTTGTGGAAAGACTTAATGGAAATCCAGGTCTTCTGTAAACTTTCGTCAATGTATTAATAAAAAATTTTGAAAATTATAAAAAGAAAAAAAAATCCTTATACTCATTCTGTAATAATGGTTTTATGTCCTTTGGGACTGAGTTAGTTTTAAGGGTCCAAGGGGGGAGGTGGAAGTAGAGGGATGAGGATGTGCGGGGCAGGTGGACTTAATCACGGAGTTGTACAATTTGATTGGTTTGGGGGGGGGTGAGGGAAAATGGAAGAATCTGTTCTGGAAAACAATGTATTTGTATTTTGTAAATAAACTAGTATAACAAAATGTTTATAAAAAAAGGAAAAACCAGAAAGAACAAATATTATATGGACCACTCTTACAGAAAAAGTTTCACACAGAAACAAACAATCAAGGAATGAGGGTCTTAGTGATGGGAGGCAGAGGTAGGCGAAAATCACTAACTAGGTGATCTCAAAAACTCGAACTCCTTGCCATTGAGTCAAAACTGACTCATAGCTGACCCTCCAGTGGGTTTTCAGAGGCTGTAAATCACAGAGGAGGAGACTCCCCATCTTCCTCCCACAGTCACTGATGGATTTGCACAGCCAGAGAGGCACCACATTTGGATTATTAGCCCAGCTCTCTACAAGCTTTACCACAGAACTCTCAACTAGACAGTAGAAATATTATCTCGTGGATGAAGGGAAGTAAGAAAGAGGTTAGCACATGATCAACACAGAGGAAGACACAGGAAACAATTATGCATTAAAAACATACAGTGATTTACCAGTGCATGAGCAGATATGTGACCTGAACAGATGTGAGATGATATATGAGAGTGCACACCATGAGAATATTTAAGTGTGATATAGACCATTTCTATGTAAATGCTTGCAAGTACTGCAAATATATCCAAGTATATAGTGCAGTGTCTATATAGGTGACAAAATTATACAAACTTCTTAGCTATAGTTAGACAATTAGAAAGATGAATTGCTTTGGGAAAATCTGTTGTCAGAGACCTCTCAAAAGTACTGAAGAGCAATGATGGCAGTCTGGAGACTAAGGTGCACCTGATCTATACCATAGTCTTTGCTATGCTTCAGAGAGCTGGACAATGACTAGGGATGACAGAAGGAGAATTGATGCCTTTGAGCTGTGGTGCTGGAGAAGAGTATTGAATATATCATGGACTGCTAAGGGAATAAACAGGTTCATCCTAGAGAGGGTGAGACCAGGTTGCTTCTTGAAGGCAAGAATTCTGAATCTTTGCTTGACATACTTTGGACAGGTTACAAGGAGGGATCAGTCCTTGAAGAGAGACATCATGATTCAGAGGGTGGAGGGACAGTTCAAGAGAGGAAGACCCTTGATGAGATGGATTGATTCAGTGACTAGGGTAATGGGGGTAGGTGTGTCAGGTACGATAATATTGGCACAGGATAGAGCAGGGTTTAGGGCTGTTGTACATAGGGTAGCTATGATTTGTAGACAACTCAATGGCATATAACAATACCACTGCCACAAACTTCTGGGCTAAAATATGGATTTGCATTGGGTGATATTCTTTGTCTCCCCCCACTTTGCAACTTATTTCTCTAATAAACCCCTTCTTAGTACTACAACTGTGAGTAAAGTCTGTGAGTCAACAATTAATAA